TTCCAGATCGCTGCCGGTGGTATCAGTCTGAGCAAGGTTTGGCACTTGGATCGATTACATACTTAGCTCTGTCGGCTCATCGTGTCTTTCACCCTTAGATAGTGATTGGGAAAATCGGTGTGCGCAGTGATGCCGAGAATGGATACATGGACCCAGCAACTCTCAGCACATGCCTTGTCTCGGCTCATGCTAAGGGGTTTAATGGCGGTGTGATGGTCTGGGAGGTGAGATTTGGATAGTACGATTCCATTTTCTGTGCGCACTGATGCTATCTTCATAGTACCCCGATGCTATGAGCTCGTGGATCATTATTGTACGGGGCACTACTTGGCCCGTGTTTGGCTCCGGGAACCGAATTCAGAATCCAAGAATCCTATCTTTATTGCTCATGCAGTTGGTTTGCGTGCTTGTCCTTAGAGGTTTGTAGTCTCGTAACCGGATCCTCCCTGGGTGCGAGATTATCCAGCCCAGCGCTCACTTCGCCGTTCTTGGGCTAGGAGACAGGTGCTGTCCCCGCCCCAATGATTTTTTTCTGGTACTTAGAATTTGTTAAATTACCATGTATTCTTGTAATTCTACGTCGGGATAGATATTGTATTATTCTGCATTGTTGTTACCTGAAATCGCAGGAGAATGGAGACGTTCAGGCCTGACTCCGAGGGCCACATCCCCAGTCCCCACGGTTGGTTGGATCCGGATCTTGAGAACGGCAAGAAGTTACAGCGTGTCTGTCACTTCCATTCGACAGGTTAATTATTCTGCCACACAGAAGAGGGGTTGACTGTTCTCCAGGTGTACAATGCCGGGAGTCTTGTCCTCGTTCAACATCTCACATGAGCGCCAGAAGTCGCTGGCCCTTATTGCTGCGATCCTCGTCATCCTTCGGTCCCACATACCGGCGTCCTGGCCAAAATCCATCAATCCTTATGGTGGTCGCCTCACAGACGCACAACTAGAGCAAGCCCGTCAGGAAGTGTACAGGGAAGAAGCAGACGGGAGCACTACTCTGTTCGTGCCCTTCCGCGGACGTGTATCCAAGGTGAACAAATGAAAGATCCGGTGCGACCTCCAAGTTGCCCTCATAACGCTCTCTGTGGTTTCGCAGGTTCGGATCGAACCTACCAAGGCTGATACACTCTCTCGTGGGGCCAAGCTGTTCCCCGTAGTCAGGGCTACACAGACAAGCAAGAAGGCATCTGTCGATGGAATGTTCATGCGTCAGCTCTGGGCTGTTTTACGTCTTGCATTCCCCCATTGGCGGTCTAAGGAGGTTTTCATCGTCCTCCTACATTCGTCATTCCTAATGTTACGGACGCTCCTGAGCGTAGCCGTCGCGCGTCTGGATGGACGTATTGTCAGGGATTTGGTCAGCGCCGATGGCAAAAGGCTTTATCCGTGGCCTCGGCTGGTGGTTCGCACTCGCCATCCCTAGTACATATACGAATTCTATGGTAAGAGCCCTCTACGCTAATAAATCATGATTAATTCACGTTTCCTTTTTAGATACATCATCTCCAATCTAAACTGTCTTTGCGCCTTCGCACTCGACTCACTCGCTATACACATGATTTGTATTTACAATCTGCCCCTAATCTCCGTTACTATCGAGTTGGCCTTGAAGGTGGTCTCGAGGGCGTTGACCAGTAAGCATATCCGCCTCAATGTTATCGCATCCCCTCGCTCATCACGGTATGATTCAGATATATCACTGCCGACATCGCTGCATTTTGCGATTCCCTCGCCGCACTCTAGTGAGGATCCAGGCTGATATTTACCAGCTTCATCATTGTTGACGCCCATTCTAATAGTGGCAACGTTATGAAGCCTGCATTAGATATGGTCATCTTCACAGCACAAATATCTCGATCACTAGGTCCTTTGGGAAGCATCTTCCTGTGGGCGAATTATTTGGTCAGTTCTTCCCTTTTACGTTCGGTCACTCCAGCTTTCGCTCGTATGGCTGCTGTCGAAGTGAGTTTGGATCAATTTTCTCCTCTTGATTTTCCATGTTCAAATTGCCCCCAGTCACGTTTGGAAGGGGAATACCGAGGGGGTGTTGCCAGAGCCGGCCGTGAGGCGGAAGAAATCGCGTAAGTTAACGCAACGCGGATGCCCATACTCATACCGTGTGGAATTGATTGTTTCTGAACTCTGAAATCAGATTTTACGATGGTGGGCGGACTGAGCGGGATATCCTTTGGCGCGCTTACTCGCGGCTGATGAGCCACGTAAATTCGATTGTGAAGGTATGAAGACCATGCCAAGTATCTGGTCTCCGAATGACACAGGTTTTCGCCAGATTCGAATTGCATATGAATGGACCGAAGGTAAGATCGAGCGCACTCTTGCCCCTCAGGACTTGACTTCATGACACGTATGTCCCGATATACATAGACTTCTTCATCAAGGTGAGGATAGGCACCCGCGGTCTCGTCTCCCTTCTTTGACACGTACTACTTACTAGTACTTGTGGTCTGCTATGGGCTACTGCCTTATTTCAATTCCAGTAATGCTGAGGCCGAGGCGCAACATTGGCGTCCAAGCGCAAGCTCCTTTCGCGGAGGGCTTTATCAAACCTGACAATGCCATAGCGTCCAGAACCGAAGGTCAGATCGGTTGTTATCACCCGCGTGATCTATGACATCGTAACCCTCTTGTTAGATTATATCTCGAACCGGCGCCTCCTCTTATCCATTGCCGACGCTGGTGGTCGCCTGATGTATGCTTACAAGGACCTCCTGGAGCTCGCAGGTCTTACGACTCGGGTGTACACGCTCCTCTCTACATTGCACGCCCTACCAGCCATTAAGGATTTCGTCGAATCTGATCACGTCGAGCTGGATGGCGTTGGTGTCAGTATCCCTGAACGGAAAGTACGTGGTGCCAACATGTTCGAATCTGAGGATTCTAGCTCCCGTAATTATGGGCTGGGGGGAAGTCTCGTGGAGCCGTTGAAAATCGTCATTTCTAGGGGCGATCATCTCATGATCACTGGCCCTGTGAGTATCCCTTGAGTCAATGGGCGACAAAGGCTGATAGCCCTCCATTTTATTAGAACGGGGTGGGCAAGACCGCGATTGCACGAGTGCTCTCCGGATTATGGGAGTCGGATGATGGAGTGTTACGCCGCCCGGTGAGAGGCGTCAGCGGACTGTTCGTCGTCCCGCAGAAGGCCTACATGGTTGTTGGGACACTACGCGATCAGTTGAGTCTCTGATGCGCGCGCGAGTCCGGTTTCACAAAATATTGATGGATGGTTCCATTTAGGATCACCTATCCTCATTCCTATTCTCAGTTCATGGCTTCCGGTCGAAGTGATGAAGACTTGATGCAAATCCTGGAGGTTGTTCATCTAGCATATCTTCCAGACCGCGAAGGCGGCTGGACAACGCAGAAGGAATGGCGAGACGTCTTGAGCGGTGGAGAGAAGCAGCGGGTGTGTATTGCGCAGTCCGCATCCTATCCGTTTGGCTTGTCGTTGATTTCATTCGCGAGCAGATGGGTATGGCCCGTTTGTTTTACCATTGCCCCAAATTCGCTGTACTCGATGGTTCGTCAACATTTCCATTCACCTGCTTCGATTGAATCTCTCAAGGTCTTCATTCCCAACAGAGTGCACAAGCGCAGTATCAACCGACGTGGAGGGGTTAATGTATCAACATGCGAAAGATTTAGGCATCACACTGATCACAATTTCTCATCGGTATGGGTGGTTTCATACTCGATCCATTCTGCCTTTGCTAACCCCAACCTGCTGTGTTAGTCCATCACTGACCAAGTATCATACAAGTGTCCTTACGCTGCGAGGCGACGCCACTGGCGGGTGGAACGTGACTCGTGTTGGTACGGAGGAACAGAGTGTAGGCGTGGAACGAGAGATTGCTTCGCTGGAAGCGCAACTAAATGAAGTTGCAACATGGGAGGCTCGCCTGAAAGACGTTGCAGCTGAGTTGGGTGTTTCAGTTAAGCTCCCCAATACTTCCTGATTCACGTTCGCTGTACGATACTGTATGTGTCCCCTATTTTCCCTGTTATATTTATAATGTTTCTGCAGCCGAAATATACAATACTATTAGACGAACGTTTTTGGATGATCATTAGGGATTCGAACGGTGACGAGAAGAGATAGATATCTCACCATTATTTCCTCGAATAAACGCGTCTCCATACCGGTTCGTCACTCGGCCGTTTACGTGTTCCTCTGTCTGCTCCAGCGCGATATTCATGAAACCGTCCAAGCACGACAGGACACCTGAAGGCGAAGGGCTTATCACTCAACTGCATATAAAAATAATTATAGAAACAAAAAATACCGCGGTAATCCACACCGGACACGAGTCGCACCACGACACGTTTTCCAACCACGTTTTTCAAGAAATCAGTAGGCGAGCCAGACGATGGTGGACCAGCCAGTAGGCAGTTCTGGAGGCGGCGAATCGGGAGGGGGTGGGGGGGATTCAGACATGGAGGTTAATCTCTACGTGACATCAATGGAAGGCCTAGGGTTAGACTGGCCTATTGATTTATTGCGCAGACCAGGCTGTTTCGTTCACCTTGGTTTTGTCTCTTGGGTTTACTCAACACCGGGAATCTCCAGCCTTGATACCGGAGATCTCCGGTGGCCTACAGCTTAAATATCGAGAAGAACCTACTACTGTTTGAGGAGTCGACTTCTCCATCGCACATTGCATTGAGCGTAAGCACCATCAAGAGTCAAACAGACACTTAGATATTTCGTGTGTAAGTTGAATCTCATAGCCCTCAGTCCGAATCGCGGGTGCTTATTCCAAGCGGCCCTCAACATACACTGTCATACAGTATTGTCAACTGTCCGTGGAACATGCACCGCCCAGGGAGGCATGCAGACCCGTGAAATTTCGGCCGAGGGAGGGATGTCTGGCCACAGGGCCAATTTTGGGTGATCAATGCGGATGTATCTGATTTCCAGCCATGGTCAGATTCTATGCTGGACTTAGAGTCACTGGGGACACTATTAATATGCCCGTGTGGCGCAATTGGTTAGCGCGTGAGACTTTTAAGCCTCATAATCTCAAGGTTGCGGGTTCGAGTCCCGCCACAGGCTAGTGGATATCTTTTTGTCAATAACTTCATGTTGGCAACCGGGAGTCCGGGACCCTCGGCGGCGGCTTAGCTTACCTTGTCCGTCGTGATTACAACATGCATGCACGTCGACTTTTCCATACCAAATTATCGTAGTTTGGCTCTCTTAGGCGCCAGATTTCTGGGCTCCGATCACTCTTGACGATTATATTACACCGATGCATGCACCGTGACAAGAACACGTGACTCATCAACAGAAATGCATCTCAGAGCACTGCGCCCACACGGAGTCTGCGTCTCCGCGAATTCTGTGCACTCAACGACCTTCGCCTGTTCCCCTGAAACTTGTGATTCGCTCACGCTTCTGAAAGTTTTCCTCATCTGAGGAATTTTATCGCTGCTTTGAGATGATTCGATTAACCTACCCAGATAGTGCGCTCGCTCTGATGCATCGCGCCGTTTGTGTTGTCAATGGCGACGTGTACTGTCGAAGAGATCACGAGGTGTTGCTGGCTCATGTTGTAGGAAGGCCTGTATGATCCCACGAAGACCTCGAGACGGAATCGAATGAGCACAGGGATACACAACATTCTCCCAGGGAAACCGCAAGACGCAGCCGAAGGCATTATTGGCCACAAAATATGGACTCGGAGACCCCAAAATTGCATGGCTTGCGGGCGTGAGCATGGTGCGCAGGTTTCCTCAACCTGCCCTGGAGCGACGGAATCCACAGTATTTCTCAGTGCTGACTCGAACAACTGTACAGGATCAGTTCCGGATTCCTCTCATATACCAGTTTCGATGTCGTGACAATGGATTGAGGATTGCAGTCGCCTACGTTCGCTGAAGACGAGATGAACGCTGGACTCACTACCCCCACTGTGGACAAAGGTCTTGACGATTTTTACTCTGCGCGAGAGCTATATTTTCCAATATTCCAATGGCTCGAGTGAGTTTCGAATTTCATGAATTCTGACCTGCAGTACTTTTCCTCCCAACCCTCTCTCCGTTATTGAAAGGAAGAGGTATCTCGGACGGGGGCTGCATCTTTCCGAAGTCACAGATGTCAATGTCCTTTTCCCATCCAAAGCCTCCCCAAATGGGGCTTTGAGGCACAGATTTCTCCAGTCACTCCATTGCGTGAGTGCCCTTCCGTTTCGTCTGCTGTAACGTCCCACGAGTTCTTCTTCTGCCACCCTGATTATGATTCCTAGCTCACCTCATCCTCGGTGTTCGCTGCACCGGGAGTCCGGGACCCTCGGGGTGGCTTAGCTTACCTTGTCCGTCGTGATTACAACATGCATGCACGTCGACTTTTCCATACCAAATTATCGTAGTTTGCCTCTCTTAGGCGCCAGATTTCTGGGCTCCGATCACTCTTGAGCACGATTATATTATCGGGTAGCAGCGACAAGCGCCAATCCCGACTCTTAAGCCGGTCGTCATGTGGATATTTTCCATCAAGTTGGTTTGTGTATGCTCAAGGGATAAAGACAGGTTTCAATTGAACTGGTGAGGAAGGAAAAGAAGGATGAAGGAGAAGAGAATATGAATCGGAAGATGAAAAGAGAAACCATGTATACTACCAAAGGAAATCATGCATACGTCCTAGGTCGCGTACAAATGTCGTGCGACAGTATGACACACACAATGGCAAAACGGCCATTACGTGCCCCACTGTAGATTATCTGCGATGCGCTATCCTCACAGTGCCCGCGAACGTCGGGAAGACAAGCTGTGGACCGCACACCTCGTCTTTGGCAAGCGGGAAGTTTCAGCCCACACTCTTGAATATCAAAGAGAGGAAGATGTGGCGAGGAAACAAAAAGTGACGCAGCGTCGACAATATCGCGAATTAATCGACATAGCCGAGAGTCATGAAGGAGTCCTACTATTTGCCCGCTGCATATTCGCAGCCACATGGAGCCCAGAGACACCCACAATCGAGGAACGTAAGGCACTCCTCCAAAAAAGGATCATGGCGCTTACAGTCTCAGGAACAATGGAGAACCGTATCCAAGGTATCCAATCCGAAACGAGAAGGCGAAGCTGCATAATTCGATTTGAAGGACACTGTAGATTGCCAATCATACAGAACCTCATCACCCCAGAACGTAGGGAAGCAGCCGCCGTCTGAGCTTCGCTCCAGACAGACCAAATTGGAAAGCATGGACGCTACGACTCTTCTCAACAGGGGTCCAAGTCACGTACGGCAAGCTAGAAGGATTCGGATCGGAGGTGTCACGCAATGGAGTGACTGGAGAAATCTGTGCCTCAAAGCCCCATTTGGGAGGCTTTGGATGGGAAAGGACATTGACATCTGTGACTTCGGAAAGATGCAGCCCCCGTCCGAGATACCTCTTCCTTTCAATAACGGAGAGAGGGTTGGGAGGAAAAGTACTGCAGGTCAGAATTCATGAAATTCGAAACTCACTCAGCCATTGGAATATTGGAAAATATAACTCTCGCGCGGAGTAAAAATCGTCAAGACCTTTGTCCACAGTCGGGGTAGTGAGTCCAGCGTTCATCTCGTCTTCAGCGAACGTAGGCGACTGCAATCCTCAATCCATTGTCACGACATGAAACTAGTATATGAGAGGAATCCGGAACGATCCTGTACAGTGTTCGAGTCAGCACTGAGAAATACTGTGGATTCCGTCGCTCCAGGGCAGGTTGAGGAAACCTGCGCACCATGCTCATGCCCGCAAGCCATGCAATTTTGGGGTCTCCGAGTCCATATTTTGTGGCCAATAATGCCTTCGGCTGCGTCTTGCGGTTTCCTAAAAGAAATGTTGTGTATCCCTGTGCTCATTCGATTCCGTCTCGAGGTCTTCGTGGGATCATACAGGCCTTCCTACAACATGAGCCAGAAACACCTCGTGATCTCTTCGGCAGTACACGTCGCCATTGACAACACAAACGGCGCGATGCATCAGAGCGAGCGCACTATCTGGGTAGGTTAATCGAATCTCACAAGCAGCGATAAAATTCCTCAGATGAGGAAAACTTTCAGAAGCGTGAGCGAATCACAAGTTTCAGGGGAACAGGCGAGGGTCGTTGAGTGCACAGAATTCGCGGAGACGCAGACTCCGTGCTCTGAGATGCATTTCTGTTGATGAGTCACGTGTTCTTGTCACGGTGCATGCATCGGTGTCCCCGACTCTTACGTAAGTAAGAGAGGGTTTTAGGGAGCATTTCGTCGTCACGGGGTTTCGAATGTCGCGTCCACGGCTGTGCCACCCGATTTGGTATTTCATCACGTGCCTTCCGGGCCAACCCGACCATCATATGAGCTGCCATCCGTAAGTAAAAGATATACGGTCAGCGTTAGAATCGATTTCGGAATCCTATCCTCCCTCCAGCATCCCTGAGGTGTGCCTCCAAACGAATAAAAATGGAAATGAGCTATTACGGGCCGTGTTTCTCCAGTGCTCAGGTGAGTAGGGATTGTAGGATGTATTACGTCTTTGATCCACGGTGCCAATAGACATTGATTTGATTTTGAACTCGAATTTGTGCAATCATTACGTGCCATGTTTCTCCGGTGCTTCAGGTGAGTCGGGATCATAGGATGTATGACGTCCTCGTATGGAGAGAATTAATGCTTCTCAGTGAAATCGCCATTAGCACGGGCTGACCCGCGCAATTAGGGTTCATGGGGCTCCCTCGTCGAAGGGTCCGCTACGGGTGCGGGGATGGATCGTGGAAGCTTTGCTCTCGCGAGCGGGTTGATTATGGTCACGGTTAATATCGCCTCGGATTACCCTTTCCATTGCCTCTCCCATTGCCGATTTCGAACCATCGTTGAGGAATCATTTGGGCCGAACCGGACCCAAATCCTCCTCGCGCAGTGCCCTTCCGTTTCGTCTGCTGTAACGTCCCACGAGTTCTTCTTCTGCACCTTGATTATGATTCCTAGCTCACCTCATCCTCGGTGTTCGCTGGGGGGCGGACATTGGGGTGCAGTCCTTGGAGTTTCTCCCCTGTGAGCTGG